CATCAGGGATTTCAGGGAAAGCATTGCAGAAGGCCCTGCCCTAAAGGATTCTGATCTGTGACGAAGGGAAGCATGGGCATCACAGGGATGGGCAACAGAAATTGAGTTTTGAGGTCTTAGGCGCTGATCCATAGTCTTTTACCTGTAACTCTGGGAGCCAGGTGTGTCTTGGAATTTAGAAGTTTTAGAATGGCAACAGGGTGTGTCGATCCCTAGCTCCAGGTAATGCCTCTGGCAGGCCATCCAGTACACTAATATTTCTGCAGCAGGGTAAAATGTCCGTTCACCCAAAATGGGACAAAGAACTCCGAATAGCTTTGTGGCAGTTCACGTTGGGCTTTCTGCCAAATGAGTTATGCAAAACTTAGTTTTCAGAACTTTCGGCATTTCAAATTGTGGTTAAGGAATTTGGACCTGTAATGAGAGTCCTTCCGTAAGCCTCTGGGAGTGACTGACAATTGCACTTTTGTGTATGTGTATGTGTGTGCAGATATTCCACCGTCTGTTGGTATCTTGGACCCCAGGGCCAGCCCAACACAGCTGAACGCAGTCGAATTTTTGTGGGACCCTTCAAAGAGAGCCACTGCATTCATTCAGGTAAGTGGGAGGGAGGGTGTTCTTGGGGGAAGCCAGAGTTTTGGGGCCTGCATGCATGTCGTTCCTCAAAACAGTCCACCTGCAGGGCCCCAACGGGCTCCTGTTCTATGTTGCGGGGATGTACGTTGAAGGGGAGGAGGCTACAGGAGTGTGGCTCAGTCGTGGAGCTAGTTGGTCCCCAGAGCTAGGAAAGGACGTGGCATGTTGTAGAATACTGTGTGGGTTTTTACTTAACAATATATAAGCTTGAGGGAGGGGCAAGATGGCAGAAGAGTAGGGTCCCCACCAAATTACCTAGATAATATTCAAATCATCCTGAAATTCTACGAATTCGGCCTGAGATTTAAAGAGAGACCATCTGGAACGTTACAGTGAGAAGAGTTCGCGCTTCTATCAAGGTAGGAAGACGGGGAAAAGGAAATAAAGAAACAAAAGGCCTCCGAGGGGGAGGGGCCCCGCGAGGAGCCCGGCTGAGGCCGGGAGGAGTGTCCCCAGGACAGGAGAGCCCCGTCCCGGAGGAGCAGGAGCTGCACCAACCTTCCCGGGCGGAAAGGGGCTCGCAGGGAGTTGGAGCAGGACCCAGGAGGGCGGGGATGCCCTCGGACTCCCGGGGACACTAACAGACACCTGCGCCCCTGGGACAGTGCGCCGAGCTCCCTAAGGGCTGCAGCGCGCACCGTGGGGCCCGGAGCAGCTCGGAGGGACTCAGGGAGCGGCTCCATGGAGGGGGCTGCGGGGCGGGAGCGCGAATCCAACAGCGCAGGCCCCGGAGCACAGGGCGCCAGGACACAGCCCAGGATCTGGCCTCCCCTGGGACAGGCAGATGCCCGGAGGGCCCAGGACAGCAAGGACACTCCTGCCCGGAGCTGAGCAGATCAGTGGCCCCGCCCCGGAGCCTCCAGGCCCTGGGGAGAGCCCCATAGTTCCTGAGGGGGCTGAATCCAGGCTTCCAGAGTTGCCATAGCAACTGCGGCTGTTCCTCCTGGGGCCTCACGGGGTAAACAACCCCCGCTGAGCCCTGCAGCAGGCAGGGGCAGAGCAGCTCCCCCATGTGCTAACACCTGAAAATCAACACAGCAGGCCCCTCCCCCAGAAGACCAGCTGCACGGACCAGTTCCAGGGGAAGTCAAGGGACTTAAGTCTACAGATTCAGAAGATACTCCCCCGAGTTTTTTTTGTTTTTGTTTTTTCTTTTTTCGTTTCTTTTTGATTTCTGATTGCTTCTCCCATCCCCCTTTTTTCACCTTTCTTTCTTTTTCTTTCTGTTTTTCTTTTTTTCCTTTTCTCTTTTCTTTCCTTCTCTCTCCTTTTCTCCTTTTTCCCAATACAACTTGTTTTTGGCCACTCTGCACTGAGCAAAATGACTAGAAGGAAAACCTCACCTCAAAAGAAAGAATCAGAAACAGCCCTCTCTCCCACAGAGTTACAAAATCCTGGATTCAGAAGCACTATTATACAGCTACTGGTGGCTCTAGAAAAAAGCATTAAGGACTCACGAGACTTCATGTTTGCAGAATTTAGATCCAATCAGGCAGAAATTAAAATTCAATTGAATGAAATGCAATCCAAACTAGAAGTCCTAACGACGAGGGTCAACGAGGTGGAAGAACGAGTTAGTGACATAGAAGACAAGTTAATGGCAAAGAGGGAAACTGAGGAAAAAAGAGACAGACAACTAAAAGACCATGAAGACAGATTAAGGGAAATAAATGACAGACTTAGGAAGAAAAACCTATGTTTAATTGGGGTTCCCGAGGGCGCCGAAAGGGACAGAGGGCCAGAATATGTATTTGAACAAATCCTAGCTGAAAACTTTCCCAATCTGGGAAGGGAAACAGGCATTCAGATCCAGGAAATAGAGAGATCCCCCCCTAAAATCAATAAAAACCGTTCAACACCTCGACATTTAATAGTGAAGCTTGCCAATTCCAAAGATAAAGTGAAAATCCTTAAAGCAGCAAGAGACAAGAAGTCCCTGACTTTCATGGGGAGGAGTATTAGGGTAACAGCAGACCTCTCCACAGAGATGTGGCAGGCCAGAAAGGGCTGGCAGGATATATTCAGGGTCCTAAATGAGAAGAACATGCAACCAAGAATACTCTATCCAGCAAGGCTCTCATTCAAAATGGAAGGAGAGGGGATCCCTGGGTGGCGCAGCAGTTTGGCACCTGCCTTTGGCCCAGGGCGCGATCCTGGAGACCCGGGATTGAATCCCACGTCGAACTCCCGGTGCATGGGCCTGCTTCTCCCTCTGCCTGTGTCTCTGCCTCTCTCTCTCTCTCTGTGACTATCAGAAAATAAGTAAAATTAAAAAAAACAAAAACAAAATGGAAGGAGAGATAAAGACCTTCCAAGACAGGCAGGAACTTAAAGAATATGTGAGCTCTAAACCAGCTCTGCAAGAAATTTTAAGGGGACTCTTAAAATTCCCCTTTAAGAAGAAGTTCAGTGGAACAATCCACAAAACAAGGACTAAATAGTAGATATCATGATGACACTAAACTCATATCTGTCAATAGTAACTCTGAACGTGAATGGGCTTAATGACCCCATCAAAATATCTAAATACACCACACTGACACAGGATGGTAACGACTATAAGGCAACCCTTTTCCCCTCTGTTTTAACTTTTCTATGCTGATCAAAGGAGAAACGAAAAAGCCTCCTATGCCGATTGCCAAACATGGTGCAAAGTTGGCTGACTGCAGGGGGGAGTGGTAGAGGGGTGGAGGAGGGGAGGCAGGCGGGAGGGCAGGGGCATACTCGGAGGGCAGGGCCACCTCCGGGGCCCCAGACATCATTCACACCTCACACAGTGGGACGGGGCGTGCGTGGTGGGGCGTGGCGTGGTGGGGCGTGGCGTGGTGGGGCGGGGCGTGGCGTGGTGGGGCGTGGTGGGGCGGGGCGTGGCGTGGTGGGGCGTGGCGTGGCGGGACCGGGGCGTGGCGTGGTGGGGCGTGGCGGGGCGGGGCGTGGCATGGTGGGGCGGGGCGTGGCGTGGTGGGGCGTGGCGTGGTGGGGCGGGGGGCGTGGCGGGGCGTGGCGTGGCGTGGCGTGGTGGGGCGGGGCGTGGCGGGGCGGGGCGTGGCGGGGCGGGGTGGCGTGGCGGGGCGTGGCGGGGCGGGGCGTGGCGGGGCGTGGTGGGGCGGGGCAGGGAGGGACTGGGAGGGGCGGGGCGGGAGGGACGGGGCGTGGCGGGCGGGGCGGGGCGTGGTGGGGCGGGAAGGACGGGGCGGGGAGGGGCGGGGAGGGGCGGGGCGGGGCAGGGAGGGACGGGGCGGGCGTGGTGGGCGGGGCAGGGAGGGACGGGATGGGGCGTGGTGGGAAGGGGCGTGGCGGGGCGTGGCGTGGTGGGGCGGGGCGGGGCGTGGCGTGGTGGGGCGTTGTGGGGCGGGGCGGGGCGGGAGGGACGGGGCGTGGTGGGGCGGGGCGTGGTGGGGGGGGCAGGAGGGACGGGGCGTGGCGTGGTGGGCGGGGCGGGAGGGCGGGATGGGGCGTGGTGGGGAGGGGCGGGCGGGGCGTGGTGGGGCGTGGCGGGGCGGGTGGGGCGGGCAGGGGGGACTGGGAGGGGCGGGGGGGGGGGGCGGGGCGGGGCGTGGTGGGCGGGGCGGGGCGTGGTGGGGCGTGGCGGGACGGGGCGGGGAGGGGCGGGGAGGGGCGGGGCGGGGCGGGGAGGGACGGGGCGGGATGGGGAGGGACGGGACGGGACATGGCGGGAATGGAAGGCACGTGGCGGGACGGGACGTGGCGGTACAGTACGTGGGCGAAGGATGGGACATGACGGGACGTGGCGAGACGGGACGTGGCGGGAAGTGACGGGACGTCACGGGACTTGACGTGGCGGGAAGGGACGGGACGTGACGGGACGGGACGTGGCGGGAACGGACGGGACGTGGCGGGACGGACGTTGAGGGATGGGACGTGGCGGGACGGGACAGGACGGGACAGGGCGGGATGGGGACGGATGGGACGGGACGTGGCGGAAATGGACGGGACGTGGCGGGACGGGACGTTGCTGGAAGGGAAGGGACGGGACTTGACGGGACGTGGCGGGAAGTGACGGGTCACACTGCATGGAATTGTGTGGTTCGCACATCTGTGTGGACTCAAAGCTGCAAACTGCTGGAGGACAGGGTCCCTGTCCGACCCTCCTCCTACTGGCCACCCCCAACACAAGTTCTTACAAAAGCTGAGCTGAAAGAAGACCATGTGCGGTATTCTTCCCACTGTCACAGATGCCCTTGCCAGCCACTGCCCTAGTTCTGGTCAAAACATCACTCCCTGTCATCCTAGATTAACTTGACTTGGTCGCAAAGTTCATTGCTCAGTATACCCTTCCACCCCACAGCCCTGGTTCCAGGACTCTGTGTGACAGCCCCACCAGCAAGGGCTTGAAGAACCTTTCAGAGAAGGAAGAACCAGCTTCTCCTTCTCCCCTGTGGCTTCACCACCTTCTCAAAGGTCGTGGCTCCAGAGACAATGTGACCAATGGGCAGCACTGTGGTAGAAGTGCCGGGAAGGCGGAGTATGCCCCGGCCCCCTGGCTAAAGGGCCTCTTCCCGGGCAGTTGAGGGCACCCCCCACAGGACCCAGATGGTCTCCTGAAAGCCATTCTCGACTGGAAACTCCCAGCAGTAGCACTTCGTATCTTAGCACTTGGCACAGGGTCAGCAGAGGTGAGTGACCCACGCTACACCGGGTCTCCAGGGCAAAACCACGGCCCTGCAGACACTGCGGCAAATCCTGAAAGCGAGTGGCTTTGTTACATGTTTTTAAGATCCCTGTGGGTTTGAAAAACAACACAAAGATGCTCACCTGAGAAACTGGTGAACAGCTGACAGAACTGTGAGAACCTGTTTCGGTGGAGCCACTGCTGGGCATCCTGGATGGAGGCTGATGGGAGCAGGTGCTGCAGGCAGAGAGAGAGGAAGGGTCCTGAAACGACCGTGCCGGGTCTGCCCAGGGATGTGCAGCCAGAGAGCCCGGCTGCAGACACTTACATCGTTGCTCAGGGGCAGGGTCTCCACCGGGTGTGTCGGAGAGCTGTTCCTGCAAAGGAAAAGAACAGGTCATCAGACGTGGGGACACCTTCAGGGACGTGGGTACGGGCCCCTCACCCAGCCGGTGCTCCCCCCGCCCCTCAGGCATGGCACTTGGAAACACAGCAGGGCCTCAAGAATTTCTCAGGTCGAGAAATGTAGGCGGGAACCATCTGCACAATCCCTCCAATCCCTGACCAACCCTTCAGGACAGACATGACTCAGTGGCAACACAGCATGGCCAATGATCACCACTCCACTCTGAGCTCAGCATTTGTTCTCATCTGATTCCTTCCCAGGCAGAGCTTCCCCACAGCTTGGCCCTAGGGGAGGGCAGGCCGCCCCAGGAGCTCCACACGGCCACGTGGGGCCCAGACAGCAGCAGCCAACACCCCTCTGTGGAGATGGGAGAAGGCTGTGGGCTCCTCGAGGAGGGAACAAGCAGCCTCGGTGTGGAGTCCATCCACGAGAACATTCTAACAGTTGGAGGCCCACTGACCTCCCTCCAGGGCTCACTCCTGGGGAAGGCACAGACCTGAACACCTGGATTCTCCAATTAAAAGAAAAAATACATTTTTAAATGACCCTCCTCAACAGACAGTGGGGCAGGTATGACGTGAATGGACGTAGGTGTCTCTCTCTGCGTTTAACACGATAACGAGGTAAGTTTTACTCTGTGAGTACCTTACCACAGTGACAATAAAGGCAAGGCCCTCACCGGGCTGACCCTCACACGTCATCGGTAACAAGATGCACCTCGCCCAGTGCCTGTAAGGCGCCGGGCACCTTGCACACCCACCCCTACCCCCGGCCCTGCATGGAAACCTCACTCCTTTGGTAGTGGAGAAAGTGGGGCTGAGGGAGGTTAAGGAACTCACCCCCAGAAAGGCGGGACTTAACACTTGGTCCACCCGAATCTGTGACACCTTGGCTATGCCACCCCAATTCTCAAGGAGGCCCCTCCTCACCTTGTGAAACCAAGTTCATGGACACTCACTCTCCCATCAGTGGCTTCTCTGTATGCCAAGCACGGGCTGTGAGGAGCCCACAGGTTCCACGCCTACCTGCTGGGTCTGCCTGGTGTCTCCCTGCTGCCTGTCCACAACAGGATCAGGACATGCATGGCCACCACAGTGGTGCCGTGAGCCCTTCCTGTGCCGCAAAGCCTAGGACAGGTTGGACCGATGCCTGCCAGTCCCCACGCTACTGTCACCTTTGAGTCAGTGCGGCCCATCATGCATCTGCAGAGCTGGGTGACCAAGTGTGAGGCTGCTCCTTGTTACAAGCCCTGAACCCTAGGGCAGGGAGCATCCTGAGCTGTCCTATGCTACCCAGAGAATGTGCATAGGGACCACAGAAAGAGCTAGGATGGCCCCTCACAGTCACTGGAGCCCCCTAAACAGCTGCCTCCTTAGGCCCCATCTGCCTAGGAGGCCATTCTGCCCTGAAGGGCAACCTGCAGGCCAACCTGCTTCTGCGGTATCTGGGGTGTGAAGGTGGGTTCTGCGCTGCTGCCCCAGCAGATGATGTTTACAGAAGCACATCCGAGCAGAGAAAGCTGTGCAAATATTACAAGTGCCACCCCGAAGCCCAAACCGATGCCAGTGCACCAAAGAGAGGAAGACACAAATACCAAGAAAGGAGACTACACCCATCATCACTCCAGGGGCTCTCAGGGAAAGAGGACAGACATACCCTTCACCAAGGCCGAAGCTATTTGGAGAGTCATTGTAGCTTGGAGATGGGGCGCTGTTCACCTGGTAGGCCATGTCAGGCCACGGGGAGCACTGTGGAAAGAGCACAGGACGGTAGTGACTCGAGGGCCATGGTGGTCAGGAGCAACTCAGGCCACAGAGCTGCAGACCCAGCTCCTATCCCTCCCATGCCAGCATCCATCAAGGCCAGCACGGGAAGCCCTGACCCCTCAACACTTAGCCCACATCCTCCCAGGGCCCACGTGAGCCAGCGAAGCATGGGTACTAGGGCCATGCCCAAGAAACTGAGTGCGGCAGAGAGGACCTAAAATTCAGTCATTCCCAGAGCAAGCAAAGGCAGGCATGTGTCTCTGTGGGCTTCCTAGGTGTTGAGCCAACGAGAGAAAGAAACATCGTCGGTCATCTGGGTCCCTAAGAAAAGAGAACTAACAAAACAGACCAACTGCCCAGAGGCAGGTTTTACCAGGTGTAGACAAGTGCGTGTACAAGCATGAAGGAGGGAGCACTGGACACAAATAACTTCCAAACAAAAATCATCCGTGAGGTTCAGTAGTGGGGTGCCCGTGTGGCTCAGTGACTTAAGCATCCAACTTCTGTTTTTGGCTCAGGTCGTGATCTCAGGATCGTGAGATTGAGCCTTGCATCAGGCTCCATGCTCAACGGGGAGTCTGCTTATCCCTCTCCCTCTGCTTGTCCCTCTGCTCTCTCTCTTTCTCTCTCCCCTAAAATGAATAATTAAATATAAATTGAAAACAAAAAAGTTCAATACTAAAACCTGCACTACTTGAAACATTCCAGGAGCAGCCAGCCCTCTCAGGCATCGGTCGATGCGTGTTTACTATGCATCAGCCGTCCTGCTAGGAGCTAAGGGATACACAAAAAAAAAAACCACAGAGGATGTGATCCTCGACCTCAAGGAACTTCTTGAGCAGAAGCCAAGGATGAACATAGGAGAGAATCGCCCAAAGAAAGCAAAGACGTACAGGTTTTGCCTGTTGGGGAAGCCAGGGGACAAAGTATTCATTTCTCCCCTTCCCTGTGATGACAACACTTTGGAGAGGGCCAATTCGAAGCATTCCTGAAGATTTACTATCACCCACCGAACCACAGGTTGGTAAATATTTAACTCGGTTGTGCATGTGGGCTGGAATTTCTTGGTGGTAAATCCCGGAGCTGAGGAGGAGGAGCTGACAGTCACCTTACAAGGTCATGGGCCAGGCGGGGGTTTTGACCAACTGTACCACGCTCTGACAAGGGCGTGGACAGACGCTGTCTGAAGCACCCTCGGACCTCTCGTCCACCAGGGGGAAGACAGAAGAGAGTCAGGAGCAGAGAGGATGAGGCTCGGCCTGGAAGGGAAAGGTGTCCGTAGGCAGAGGGCAGTGGGAGCGTGGAGGGCACCCTGGAGGGCCCGCACGTGAGGGGGCTGGGGCCTGGGGAAAACTAACTGGTCTGAGCTCTGATTCATAAATGCAGGTCCTCGCACTGCTTTGCTGCTGAGAGTTAGACAGGCTCTTCCTGCACCAGGGCTCTCTGGTCACTATTATCCTGTGTCAGATAAAACACTGGTAACATGTCTATGCCGCTGCAAAATTACCTTCCATACTGTATCTTGTTGCAAATACCTTTCTGCATATGGCTTCTCTCTCTCTCTCTCTCTCTCTCTCCTCTCTCTCTCCACACACACACACACACACACACACACACACACACACACACACACACACAGCCAGGACCGGCCACTATTCTCTTAGATGCTCTGTGCCCTGGGCCTCATCCTTAACACAGCCTTAACTCTACCGCAGCTGGGGCTGGGCCTCCTGCATCTGTGGAGGGCCTTCTGAGCAAGTCAAATTATTCAATGAACGCCCACTAGCTGGGCTGATTGCAGAACACACTGGGGAACAGTTGCTTAAAAAATACAACAGAAGAGTGCCTGGGTGGCTCAGTGGTTGTGTCTGCCTTTGGCTCAAGTCGTGATCCCGGAGTCCTGGGACTGAGTCCCACGTTGGGCTCCCTGTATGGAGCCTGCTTCTCCCTCTGCCGAGGTCTCTGCCTCTCTGTGTCTCTCATAAATAAATAAAATTGTCAAAAAGAAAAAAAAACACACAACAGACCCCAGTAAGATGTGGCACCAGCAGTGACCAGTGACAGCGGGAAGAAGAGCCTGTGACAGTGAGGGTCTCAGAAGTACACTGGACACAAGGAGGTTTAGAGCAGGTGCTGTCAGTGTCCAGGTTAGGAGGAGACGAGTTCCAGTCTCTACTCAAACAACAAAGCGGCAAGTAGTCAACACCCCCGACCTGTAAGCCTGCTCTGAGAATGAAGCCTGCAGAGCTTTCTACCATATGCAGAACTTCACATGCACAGGGTCATTCCCTGCACCATGTGTGAAACGGCAAGAGCCCGAGAGCACCAAATGTCCACCAGCAGGCCATCTATCTATACAACGAAGACCACACCCTGGGTAAAGAACTAGAAAGCTCTTTATGAACAGATGGAGAACAGACTCCAAGACAGGCTATTAAATAAAGCAATCAAGTTACAGAACAGTACGTCTATGGACACTGTTGGTATAAAAAAAGTGGGCGTGGGGCAACCATGTATGAATTGGCTTCATCGGCAGAGAAAGCTAGGCCAGATACATGGGGACCCAAGAGATACCAGCTGCCCTGGGAAGAGACAGCTTGAGGCTAGGACAGTTTTGGGAGAGGCATTTTCTAGTATAGATACACTCTCTTCTACCTTTTGAATTTTGGACCTTTATTTAAAAAAAAAATTACCTGATTCTGGAAAGTACAAATGGCAGCACAGAACTGGAAGATATTTCTGAAAACACCTTCCTGGCCCCCTGGCCTTATCATGTGAACACAGCTCCGGACCCAGGAATCTGCCACAATTTTATAGGCAATTTCCAAAGCAGCATTCACCCAAGGTGGGCAATTTCCCAAGAACCTAAACCAAGAGCACACAGTCATCCTGCTCCGGGCAGAAGGCCCCAGGAGGCGCACCCCGGCACCAGGCCGGCTCACCTCTGTGAGAATGGTGGTCTCGTAGGATGGCTGGTACTTCTCTTTTTCTTGGACAGTTCTTTTCTCCATCTTTTCCCAGTCGGTCTTCTGTTTCCGGTTAGCTCCCTTTCGCTACAAGTACAGAGCACAGGGGATCCAATTAGTCCAAAGTGGGCAGAGGCAGCTATCAGAGAAAGACCCAGGACTTAGAGACAGGTCCCAAGACTAGCACTCTCCCCAGGCCCCAGGAGTCCAGGCGGGATCTCCGGACAGGTCGGCATCTCTCTCACCTCCCAGGCGTCAAGCACATGATCCTCCTCCTGGAGCCCCTCCCCTTCCTCACCTGAGGGAACTCACAGCCTGCTACGGGGTCCTGCCACTCAGTTACTCAGGGGAAAATGCTTGGAAGCAATCTTTACCACAGACAAAACCCTTGGCTGCCACAGCAAATCCCAGTGCATTCCTTGAGTTACGGGTGGAGGGCAAAAGAAAGTAGAAGTCAAAGCTGCTGCTGGGAGTTTGGGAGTCTGGTCTGCACCCGCATGCTGGGAAATCCTGGATGTGTCACGAAGGCCTCCTGACCTCCCAACTCCCAGGATTATCTGCAGCTCCCTGTTTGCACGCCCCATACAGGGTAAGACCTCCAAACTCACAGAGCCTATCCTGGGCGCCCAGCAAATGTGAACAACTTGCAGAGGGGCCCAGGTCTCACAGGCACTACCATTTCTTTCATTTATAGGTATGGAAACTGAGGCACAAGTGACTTGTCAAGAATGGAGAGAAACCTGTTCTGGCTGCTTGGGGCCTTGGGAAAAAAAAAAAAAACTCGAGGTAGAACCAAGTACTGACCAGGCAAAGAATCCAAGAGAGAATGCCCAGGGATGTACCACCACCAGGCTGGCCATGGTGGCCCTGCTCATGCGGATACTCTGGACATCCTGTGACTATCACCTGTGAGTTCACAGCCTGGTTGGTGGCTTCAGAAATTAAGACTCCAAGCAGCCCCGAGCCCCAGAACTGAATGGTCTCAGCGCACATGCAGCGGACTGTGCACAGTGCGCAGATAGTGAAAACCACCTGTCCTCAAGCTCAGTGTCACCTTCAGGGACTTTCATCCCAGTATGCACCTTCTTCAGGCCACACAACTTTTGGTTTCCAGATCAAGGGAACTTTAGAAAACAGCCCCCAGGGTGATGTGATACCCACATTTGATGGAGGCGGGTTTGCAGGGGGTCCTCTGGGTACAGGAACGACATATCCAGTGTCCAGAGAAGGAGCCAGGCACAGTATCCATACCCCATCACCTGCCTCCCAGCCCTAACAAGAGGCTCTTCCTCCCCTTCTAGAAGCCACGAGGCAAGCCTGTATATGGGGCAGGCACTCAGCCTGGTTAGGCCTGTGGAGAGCTGGCTGGTCAGAGAGGGGTCTTGCCTGTCCTGTCAGAGGCCCCGACACCCCCATACAGCCCCAGGGCCTGGCTCCAACAAGTGGGAGGCTTCTAGTGATGGGGGTGACTGGGGGAAAAATGACAGCCAGGTTAGCCAGACTCCACCCGGAGCTTGCGCACACCTGCTTGAACTGCCTCTGTGACAGGGCTGGGTGCGTGGGGTGCCCACACATCCTCAGGCATTCAAGAAGCCAGTTTCAGGTGACAGGGGCCCATGCACCCCTGCAGGAGATGCCAAATCCTTCCTTGGGTCACTCAGACAAGGCAGCTTCCAGACCAACTCCTCAGAGATAGCTAGTGTACGGTCCAGGAGCCTGGTGAGCAGAGTCCTCACCCCTGAGCTGCTTCCTCGAGGTGTAGAAAGGGGAGCTGGCAGGGGGTCCTGGGAAAGCCAAGGCACTCTGCAGGGTGGGGCAGGGGGCGTCATACAGACACTATCCCTCCCTCCTGCTGCTGGTCTGCATCTGAGCCCCAGATATCCACAGGGTGCCACTGGACCCGAGGACCACAGATGTGGTCTGTATACGATGAGGACAGAGGTGTGACCAGGAACAGGCAAAGACATCCGGCCACACAGCTGTGGGGCTGTCCACGGGAAATCATACCCACGAGACCCTGTAGCAGACAGCACCTAAGACCACAGGCCATGGTGCCCGCTGCACAGGGGCTCCTCAAACACGGCCACATCCTAATCCCCAGAACCCGAGGCTGTCACTTCACAAGGCAAAGGAAGTAAAGCTGCAGGTGGAATTAGGATTGCTAGCAGTGTGATGTGGAAACAGGAAGATTATCCTGAGTCATCCCAGGGGGTCCAGCACAATCACAGCGTCCGTAAAAGTGGACAAGGGAGGGAGGAGAGGAGGCTGGGGCGATGTGACCAGAGAAGAGCCCAGCCACTCTTGCTAGCTCCTAGGACAAGTGGATGTGGCCTGAGGAATGCAGAGGCCTCTAGAAGGCAGCAAAGAGAAGGAGAGGGAGCCTCCAGAAAAGAATGCAGCCCTCCTCCTCAACGCTTGACTTTAGTCCAGTGAGACCATCAGACTTCTGACCCCGGGGCCTGAAAGGTAGTAAGTGCATGTGGCTTGAAGCCACTAAACGTGTAGCCATTCGTTACAGCAGCAACAGGAAACCAATATCCCAGGTTGGATTTCAAGGCATCGCCGTCCTGAAGCAGGTTTCTGAAGGGTGCTGGCGCTCTAGCACGAAAGACAATCGCGTGATCCCACCACAACCAGTACCTTCCCACCTAGGGCAGCATCACTAACTGAGCCGGGGCCCGCCCCTCCCTCACCCTTGTGGATGCCACAGGCTCTGCTGCGACCCTGCAACTCCGCAGGCCATGCAGGACCCTGAGTTGCATCATTGGCCGCCAATATCTTTCAGAAGTATGGGTCCAGACAGAGGAAAGTAGTTAATAGGCAGGGGCTGGGCAAGAAAGGAAAAGAGAGGCGGTTCCTCCAAACATGTTTCTTTCTCCAACAGGAGGTTACTGCAGAGGGAGAGAGGGCCTTGGGCCCTCCATGGGAACGTCTGTGGCCGGGCCTCCTGCGCGGGACGGGGTGTCCTGACTTGATTTTTAAGGAGAATCAAACCGGCAACTACAGAATCTGTGGCCAACTACAAAGTGCTGGGGAAGATAAGGAAAACCTGAAAACGTGAAAATCCAGACAGTCTTACAAGGCAGAGCTGGGCACAGCCATCTGTGATGACGGAGGACAGAAGGTGCCCCACACCAAAGGACACCCGAAGTGGGCAGGCCCGTCACCCCAGGGCGCGTGGCTCATGCTCCTCAGGGGTCCAGGTAGAAGCCCCAAGCCAACAGGACGCCGAGTTCCCTGCTGGGCCTCCAGCAGGAATCCCAAAGGTCAATGCACTGCTGTCACTGTCCAGCACAGGCAGGGACCCGTGGATTCGGCGGCCACAGGTGGAACGTGGCAAGGACGTCCTACCTTAAACACCTTGATCTGGCAGCTGGCTGAGTGCCAGTGTTCTGTGTACTCCCCATTCTCATTCTGCTTAAATGTATCGATCTGCACTCGGAAAGGCACTCCTGTACCCCCGTGCTTCCTGGGGGTGAACTCCGTGCTGATGCAGTGCACCTAGAAGGGGAAATGTGGGCCAGAGCCAAGAAGAGTAGTGGGGACAGGCCCTGGACTCCCCAAGGGCCCCTCACCAAATGGAGGTTTCCATCCCGCACCATCAGGTCCATAGCTGCCTCGGCCTCCCCACTCCCCACGCACACTCCACCAGGGTAATGCCCTCTCTGTCCCCTCCACCTTCCCCTGTTATAAAGGGCACACACTCTCCCCTTTGTCCCTCGACCTCAGAGGCCCTGCCTGACCAGCTACGTCCTCGCCATCGCTCAGGCCCACGGACCCTCACTCCCTCCTCTCCCCTGGCAGATCCCACAGACTGCATAGCAGGGATCCCCGCCTGGTGCGTGTCCGAGTTGCTCGGGCCAGGCCAGGAGCAGGAGCAGAAAGTTGGAGCCATTTCCATGTTTCTACGTAAGTATGTGCTACAGAAAAAGGCACTGGGTAACATATTTATTATCAGAATACTATAAATACTCCAATAATATATATTATTGTGCTAATACAGTAGTATTATAATAACTTTAAAGTACAGTAAGAATATTATAATCATGTTAAAAAAAAGATCACTAACTTTTACTGAGCAATTACTATGGACCAGGCACTGCAATAATGACTTTATGTTCATTATCTGATTTATAAGACAAGTGAAAAAACTAAGAGGTTCAGAAAGGGACATAGAGAGAGAACGAGAGAGTGCGTGTCAGCCCAGAAACACGGCGGCCCTGCCAGGCTCCTGGACCCATGCCAGGTGCTTGATCATGAAACAATTAATTTAATCATAGAAACTATCATGGAAAAAAATTTATTACCTATTATATACGCGAGGGCACACTTATTTTGTAACAAGCTTACATATTGTTAAGCAAAACCCACACAGTATTCTACAACATGCCACGTCCTTTCCTAGCTCTGGGGACCAACTAGCTCCACGACTGAGCCACACTCCTGTAGCCTCCTCCCCTTCAACGTACATCCCCGCAACATAGAACAGGAGCCCGTTGGGCCCTGCAGGTGGACTGTTTTGAGGAACGACATGCATGCAGGCCCCAAAACTCTGGCTTCCCCAAGAACACCCTCCCTCCCACTTACCTGAATGAATGCAGTGGCTCTCTTTGAAGGGTCCCACAAAAATTCGACTGCGTTCAGCTGTGTTGGGCTGGCCCTGGGGTCCAAGATACCAACAGACGGTGGAATATCTGCACACACATACACATACACAAAAGTGCAATTGTCAGTCACTCCCAGAGGCTTACGGAAGGACTCTCATTACAGGTCCAAATTCCTTAACCACAATTTGAAATGCCGAAAGTTCTGAAAACTAAGTTTTGCATAACTCATTTGGCAGAAAGCCCAACGTGAACTGCCACAAAGCTATTCGGAGTTCTTTGTCCCATTTTGGGGTGAACGGACATTTTACCCTGCTGCAGAAATATTAGTGTACTGGATGGCCTGCCAGAGGCATTACCTGGAGCTAGGGATCGACACACCCTGTTGCCATTCTAAAACTTCTAAATTCCAAGACACACCTGGCTCCCAGAGTTACAGGTAAAAGACTATGGATCAGCGCCTAAGACCTCAAAACTCAATTTCTGTTGCCCATCCCTGTGATGCCCATGCTTCCCTTCGTCACAGATCAGAATCCTTTAGGGCAGGGCCTTCTGCAATGCTTTCCCTGAAATCCCTGATGGCAGAGCTCTGAGTTAGAAATCCCTGAGGGCAGGCCTGGTGCCAGCTCGCACAGTGTTTTACCTGAGGCAAGGGTACACTAAAGTGTCCTAGAGAGGCATGCATCCGACAGCTCCAAGAAGAACCCCAATGTTCTTGGGGTTCCCAATGAACTTGGAGTGCCCTTGGGCCCCGCGTGGCCCAGCAGACTCACCAATGTCCAGGATTCGGTGTCCGGGCCGGCTCCGCTGCCATCCCTCCAGCCGCTGGTGCTCTGTGTACTGCAGTCGGCGGTCGTGGAAAACCACCTGGATGATGCTCTAGGGAGGAGAAGCCAGTAGGAGACAGCTAAGTGTGGGGCTGACAAGGACCCAAGAGAACTTCCCACCGGGGAAAATCTCCCACCTTTCAAGACTAAGACCTCTCCTTCCAGAGCCTTCCTTCCCAGCTCTCAAGCTCTGCAGGCTTCTTCCCCCTCAGAACCCCAATCATAGGACAGTGAGAATGAGGACTATCCCCCTTTTCCAGAATTACTAAGTGCTTTACATACACAGCTAACCTATATATCTTTTTGTGCCAATGAGCCAACTGAAAGCTCAGGAAGATTCAGTAAGTGGCAAAGCCAGGCTCAAACCTGAGTTCATCCAGCCCAGAGCCCACTCCATCAGCCCACGCCCCTCCAGCTCTTAGCACTGCCAGCTTGCCCTCAACCACCTGGACAACATGCTCCAGGGACCAGGAACCCCTCCCACTCCAGGGCTCTCCCCAAACCGCCCAGGCACTCCTGACCCCCACCACCAGCAAGCCCAGACCCCTCAGACCCCAAGACCTCCTGGGGAGGGAGGGTGGCCCCACAGCCTTGCCTTGACATATTTTGTGTTCAGATCTTGAAAGTCTCCCAACTTCCGATTCTCCAGCAGTCGGATTTCATAAGATTGGTCTAGAAGGGGGTTAACAGTACATTTTCCATTTCTGATGGGTTTCAAACCTGGAGTTCACCCAGAGGGAGGCCTTCTTGACCTCTTGAGTGACCACCCAAGCCTCACGGCCCCAGGGGACAGAGCAGTCAGTCCATGGCCAACTCAGATGGCTCTCTGGACTGCACACCCCCATTTGTCCCAGCCTGGTTGTGCCTAAGACACCCTAGGTAGCATACCATGTGTCCCCCAAAACACAGCACCTCTACAGTTTTCAAAGAAAGAGAATTCAACAAAATGGAGTTAATGTTAAGAACAGAGCTTCAGGGATCCCTGGGTGGTGCAGCAGTTTGGCTCCTGCCTTTGGCCCAGGGCGTGATCCTGGAGACCCGGGATCGAATCCCACGTCGGGCTCCCGGTGCATGGAGCCTGCTTCTCCCTCTGCCTATGTCTCTGCCTCTCTCTCTCTCTCTGTGACTATCATAAATAAATAAAAATTTAAAAAAAAAAAAAAAGAACAGAGCTTCATGTTTCTTTAGAAAGGCTGCCCCTGCCCACACCCCCGGGTCACTTGGATGGAGAACACAGCCACCCACTCAGATCCATGTTACAGTAAATAACTGACCATACCCTTGCCAAGAGCAGGTTAAAGGAATGTGTTAAAGCCTGTTAAACATTGTCTCTAATTGCAGAATGAAAAGCATTTTCCCAACTTAAAAGAATTTCATGTATTTAAGGGGTGTGGGGATTCTATTTGGTGACATATAACCGCACAAGCTAGTCAAAGAATACGCATGGAGAAAAGACTCATCCTTAGTAACAGGGAGAACCTGAATCTATGAATTACAACCATGAACAACCTGGATGAAACTACATGTTTTATGAGGAAATAAAATACAGTCTGAATAAATAGGATACTCCATGTCCCTAGACAAGAAGACCACTTACTGAACGATGTCAATTTTTCCCAAATTAAGTGTTAACCACAGCTCTAAAACGCCCATACACATTTCACAACTTAATAAAGGATGTTTTACAAATTAAGAGAAAATGATTTACTGGTGGTATTGGTAAATCTGATTGGCTGCTGGAATTTTTTTTTTAATTTTTAGGTAAGGATAGACTCACAAGAAGTAACAAAAATAGTACAAAGGGGTCCTGAATACTTGTCCCCCAGTGTCGCCAGTGGTGGCATCTGAGGTAAGTATGATACATCACTGAAACCAGGAGCCTAGGGATGCCTGGGTGGCTCAGTGGTTGAGCATCTACCTTTGGCATGGCTTGTGATCCTGAGGTCCGGGAATCAAGTCCTGCATTGGGCTCCTCGCAGGGAGCCTACTTCTCCCTCTATGTCTCTGCCTCTCTTTCTGTCTCTGTCATGAATAAATAAATACAATCTTTAAAAATAAAGAAAGAAGAAAGAAAGAAAGAAAGAAAGAAAGAAAGAAAGAAAGAAAGAAAGAGAAGAGAGGGAGGGAGGGAGGGAGGGAGGGAGGGAGGGAGGGAGGGAGGGAGGGACAAATGAACGAACCAGGAGCCTGACCATGGTTCAATGCAATTCAACTAAAAGTCTCACATAGATCTCCCTCGGTTTTGAGGTTTTACTCAACTCATAGCAAACATCAAAACAAGTTATCATTGGACTAAAGTCAACTTTCTTAAGGTTTTATGTGAACATGAATCATACCAGACACTCAACAGAGAAGGATTTTCTGAAACTAAAATTGGCAAAAGGGAAATCTACCTATACTAAAATCTCCCTCTCTCTTTCTCTCTCTCTCTCTCTCTCTCTCTCTCTATATATATATATATATATATATATATATATACACACACACACACATATATACAAACACGTGTATTTATATGTATATGTATAGACACATGCATATATATGAATGAAACTTAAATGCAAACAACAAATTAGGAACAGCACAAACCCAGTGGCAAGCAGTTTTAAAATAGCTAAAACAGCCATTAAAAAAATACTAAGACCCCCTGTGGCAGGTGGAATGCTGCTCCCTCCCAGAGAAGATATATCCAGATCCTCATCTCCAGAACCTATGAATTTTACCTTGTATTTGGAAAAACAGTCTTTGCAGATGCAATTAAATTAAGGATACTGAGATAAGGAGATATTCCTGGATTATCTAGAGGTCCCTAAATCTAATGACAAGTGTCCTTGTAAGAGACACACAGAGAAGACAGAGAGAAGAGGAGGTGACGTGACCAGCAGAGATTGGAGGAACACAAGCCAAGGGACACCTGGAGCACCCAGAAGCTGGAAGATACAGAGAATGGTTTCTCTCCTCAAGCTCCAAAAAGGACCACGGCCCTACCAGATTTCGGACTTCTAGCCTCAGGAACTATGGGAAAATAAACTTGTGGTGTTTCATGTTAAGCCAACATGTTTGTAGTAATTTGTTAAAGCAACCACAGGAAGCTAATATACTACTCCCTGCAATGAATAATAGAACCAAAGAACATGTAATTAAATCACTCATTCCAAATATCTACCAACAACTACTACGAAATGCCACATGAATCCTAGGGACTTGGGAGATGAGCAGAATGGACATAGGGCTGTGTGTCACAGAGATCGTCCCCATGGCTCCCTCCAGGCCTGGAGATGAGGCTGACCATGCAGAGAAACATCCACTCGGAAAGCGCCCTTCTCAGCTTCAACCAGCCCCTGGGACAGGACCAGCAGACCCAGCGATGCACCAAGCCCCCATTCCCCACAGGACAATGTGCTGGGGGCCCTTCCCATCAGAGGGAGGAGGCACAAACCCCAAACTCTTGTCCTGCCCACTTGCCAGTTCAGGAGATGCAACTCATAGAAGGGTCTTGCTGACCTAACCAACACATCTAGCTTTCTGAAAAAGCCAGATTTTTACATACATTTCCGGGCTCCTGAGCCAACATTCCATTAACAGCAACATAAAATGGAACCTCACACACCGTAACTGGTTTTTCCAGTGTCCTCCACCTTCTCCAAAGAAAAAAACGTAGCCAGCTCTGGCATGAGGCCTGAGGCCCAAGTGGTCATCACCACAGGTTTACAGGCGCCCCAGGGCTCAATTAATACCGACCCTGGGCTCTGCAGGGCAGCCCCAGCTCATGCACACCGGAGGCCCCGCCTGCCCCATCCCAGGCTGAACACAGAGATTGGAATCCACGCTAGCGGGTCCCTAGGCCTGGGCTACGGCTTCCTCCACCTGCTGCAGAGACCTGACTCAGGCGCTTCCCCACCACCTCTCCCATCTCCAGTCCCTGTCCCTTCCTCCCATGCACTCCCATTCTGGAGCCCCTCCCTCACATGCCTGCCCCGATGCCAACACCGGGGCCAGGCCATCCTCCCCAAGCCCAGATCTCACACACAGTGCAGTGACATCAGAAGGCCATGGTTCATGGTAACACACACTGAGGAGCAAGGTCACAAAAGTGGAACTGACCCAGGGCATGGGGCACCTCTCTGTTTCATCAGCATCATTTTGGGACGTGGGTGGGAGCCACGGAAATTGGGCTCTGTGAAGGCACAACATGTGTCTCCTTTGCTCACCACTGCACTGTGTAACGCACAGTAGGTACTCAGCAAGTGCTTAAATGTGACTTCCTATTCTTTATACTGCTGTTCTCTGCTACAATTATAGGGTTTGCAAAACTAAGACACACTCTTGCCCTCAAAGGTAGGCAGTCTGGGGCATACCATACCACACAGGAGAAGCTCTTATAGAAGGCAGAATTTGAAACACCTCCAGAAGAGACAACAAAGATCCAAAGTTGGGCAACACTCAGAGAATGGGGATGGGGGGAGGGTGAAAAAAGGTCTGAATCAGGAGATAACATTTAAGATGGACTTTGAAGAGTGTGCAGGATTTCTATAGGGGAGGGGATGAATGAATGAGCAATCCCAAGCAAAACTGGGGCAAGGTGGTAGGAGGGGGGAGGCATACCTCTGGGAAACAAGAACTAGCAGCTTCCATTCACTGGGTGCTTACCT